TGCAAAATCAAAGGATGATTTTTAGAACTCATGCATGCAGATAAATCCTATTTTTTCATGGCTTGTTACTCTTGAGAATTTGGAAATACCAAAGGTCACATCACACCCCCTTGAAACATAACTATTACCTTCAGTGAAAGCCTCATAGAGCGCAGTTAATGCTTTAGGTTGGGTTTTGATCTGACTGCCAATGCCACAGTATTTGGCTTTGGAATGCAGATTTTTTTTCCAGCAGATTTGTCTTCCTAATTATGTCTGACTTCAGATAACATTAAAATTAAATTGCTTTTCCTTTCTCTTGGGCTCACACCAGGGTAGAGAAGAAGTAGAGCAAGCCAGTCCTTAAGTGTGCTGGATGGCAGAAAGAACAAATGATCCCCTCGAAGGGCTGCAGTGAGCTCCAGTGATGATCTGGTCCAGCTTATCATTGACTGAGATGGAGAAACAAAGGGATAGAGATGTTAAAGTCCACAGACAATCCAGCCTTGACCAAAATAGTACCAAATCATACATCATACAGCCCACTTGACATTCAAAAACTTTGTGAGGGCAACCTTAAGTTCTTCCTCTCGAAGTGTATCAACACTCTGCCGTATTTGTTCACCCTCTCATGGCACTAATTACTCGGATGAGAAGCTGGCAGCCAAAGAGTACGATTATTACTTTGGGACATTGCATTGTGCTTCTACAAACTACTATTATTGAATAGATTATTTTGTGAACTGAAAGTTTCTACCCCTTTGGAAAGCCACCTTATTAGCTGAAGATATACCCAAAACTATTCTAATTGTGTTTTCTTAATAACTGTTTGATATATAAATTCATGATTAAGGACAAGGAAAGGGCCATTTTGATATAAAAGTTTAAGTCTGGACTTAGATGTAAAAATTGAAGCATGCTAAGGGAAATTCAAGAGAGGAGACCCAGAAGATAAGTAATATCAAGTGAACATGAAGCTAAATTAGATCAGCCAGAGGAAAAGGGTTTCAACACCCTCTGGAGTAACCAGGAAGGGTGTTGATGTTGTGAGAACATCTAGCAAACAAAAGGTTACTGCCAGTTTCTCAGCATCTTGATCTAAAGAAGTAGAAAAGAGTTCTGCCTACCCAGTGGATCAGGGGCCATCCTACTCAAAGAGGTTCTCTCCACTATGCAGATAAATGCATGTATTCACATTTTGAAGTACAAAAAGCTTTTGCCTCGATCTAGTGGCCAAGGTCTCTCAACACCCCTTGCTGCATCCCATCCTATAAAGCCTTACCCAACACAAAAACTCTTCCTTAATTTCACATCGACAAATTCATGCAGCAGAGGCTAACAAATGCTCTCCGGTCTCTTTTTCCCATCACGGGAATACAGGAAACCTACACTTCCTACTTTCCCTTGAAGTTAGGTTGGGGCCATGTGACCAGGTTCCGGCCAAATGAATATTGGGAATAAATGATGATTGCCACTTCCAAGCTGGATATAAAACATCCCAGACAATCATCCTCATTCTACATCTTTGCTCATCAGCCGGGGAAAGCCGAAGATCCCATGGAAGACGCCACAAAGGAAACAGGGGAGCCACAGGATAAAATGGGTCTAGGTCCCCATATCAACACTGGGAGGAGCACCCTTCTGGAGACTGTGTGATCTCCAGCAGGCTGTGGCATGAGTGAGAAGTAAACCTCTGTTAATTCAATCCCCAACGAGACTTGGGGCTTGTTGGTTACAGCATAGAGTCGGTTCTACCTAATATGGGTCACATCTTCATGACCAAAGAATTGAGTCTGTAATAGGCAGATATAAACCAATAAAAAACAATATAATCAGAAGATGAAACAATTTTCATGGAATTTTCCTCTCTTCTGGAGAAAAGCGATTCAGTAAACTAAACACTAAAAAACCAGAGCAAACAAAGTCTCTCCTTCTATTTGTGGAATTAAACACTTTCTTCGGCACACTTGGGCTCTTTTATATCTGAAACTGAGTCAGTTATTCATTTTTGTGACTGTACAGTCAAATCCAATTAATATAAAATCCAAACTATTCTCTTTCTGTTAATAGCTGGGATCCACCAGTTTTGTCTGACAACCTCTCTTTGTTGGAAATGTTCATCTTTGTGTCAGACTCCTGGTACTTCTAGGAGAAAAAATATAACCTAGATATAATAATAATGTATTTATTGAGCACTTACTACATACGAGGACACTGCAAGCTTCTCACAACCACCCTATGAGTCAGGCAGCAATTTACAGGTGAGAAAATTAAGCCAGAGAAAAGTTCTACAGGTGCCTAAGGCCACCTCGATCATAAATTATTTAGGCAGAATTAGGGTCTGTTTCTGTTCTCTTAACCACCTTAGCTTATTTTCTTCTCCATTGCAGCTTTGTATGCTCATTTTCTCTGGGATGTCTGTGAACATCTCACAGAAACCATTTTCCTGGAGACAGAATTCCAAATTGGCTATGAAGCCAGTTACTTTAATTATACTCTGGTCACCTTCCTAAATGGACCTCTGAATTGGCCCTTATTTTATTACTCTAAGCTCTACATATTTATGAAGATAACCCAGATTCTTTTGAGTTACGAATTCTTCAAACTTTTCCAACTATTTTTCAAAGGCTTAGCCCTCCTCAGACTCCTTAATGACTTCATGAGGCATATTTTCTTTCCATTACAAATTTCCAGCCTGCTTACCTTTTAAATATTCAATATTTAGGTATTATAAGAGCAATAGGATTATTTGATGTCCTAATTGCCTCGAGCCTTGTTTTAAATGCCTTTGTAGCGATGGGGGATGCCAGCGGTGCCTTCCTCCTGCTGCTGGGTTTAAAGAGCATCCAGGCAGCCCCTCTGATGTGAGACCCAGAGGACCACGAGGGCCAGACTAACCACCCTCTGCAGCGTCATACCCCGCGCCGGCTCCCCACCACCTCCAAACACACACACACACACACACACCAGCCGGTAAAGTGAGGTCACAACAAACATAGAGAACAGTATTAAACAGAAAACAAAGAAGGGCTAGTGTGAGGCACAGTCCCCAGCCCGCTTTTTCTTCGCTACTGGGAGTTCTATGGACTGACGATGTTTATAGATAAACGTACACCGGTATGCATATTTGTGTGTGTCTGTACAGAATGTTAAAATGGGACTTCAGGCTAAAGTCTTGAAACAGACGTTATTTCGTCATGTGCAAGATTTCAAAGGAGGTAAACAAAAACGGTTCAACCCTTCATCCTCTCACTTACATCAAGGGTGTAGACTGCAAGAGTAAGAGATCATTCAGACTATGTGTGAGTAATATAAATAGATATTTATAATCAATATATATACATAAATAATGTTTTCTGGAAAGGGCCTTTGGTAAGAGTTGTCTATATGCTGAACTCCCCCCAACCAAGTCATGTATAAGAGGTGGGGGGTCTTGCCCTCCCCTCACACCTAGGGGAAGAGATTTCAAAAGAACTCCTTGGAGGGCCTAATATGTGCTTCTTGTGCACACACCTGACTCCCACCTGTGAACCTAAAAGGTGAGCCCGGGGCTTCCTAGCTGGCTTGATGGCGGAGTGAAAGAGAATCCATTACATGGGGGCCAAGTCTTGGGGCTCCCAGAGGAGAGGTGCCTGTGCGCTGTGGGAAACCAAGAGTAGAGATACCTAGTGTTGGGGAAGGGAAGGTAACATCTCCAAAGAACCCCAAAAAATGCCCCCAAGAGCAAGAGTCCTGTTTAAACATCTGCCAAGCCCAAGAGCGCCAACACTGGGTATCTTGAGGTAGGCACCAAATGAGAAGTTTCTTGCTGTCCTTTCCTGCATGCCCTTGAGAGGGGTCACCCTTCTGGGGTGGCCATATAATTTCTTTTACATACAGAGAGACTTCTGAGAGGGAAGAGGGGTGATGGTTCACTTTATGTGTCAACCTGTCTGGGCTCTGGTGCCCAGTTGTTTGGCCAAACCCTAGCCTGGATGTTGCTGCTGTGAGGCTATGTTGTGGTTAACATTGACAATCAGCTGACTCTAAGTGCTGCAGAGTACCCTCACTCCCGTGGGCAGGCCTCATCCAAATAGTCGAAAGCCTTAAGTGCAAAAAGTAAGGTTTCCCAGAGAGAAGGAATTCTGCCTGAAGACTGTAGACATAGAAATCCTGCTAGAGTTTCCATCCTGCCAGCCTGCCCTACAAATTTCGGATTTGCCAGCCCCCACAATTGTGCGAGCCAATTATAAATATTATACCTATATTTTATATATATGGTTTTATTTCTCTCAAGAGCCCTGATACAAAGGGGAACTATTCATAACTAGGTCCGGGCAACAAGCAACTGGGACCAGCCCAAGTAAACCAGGATGTATGATCTCCCTAGTCAGAACCCAAGACTTAGTGGAACGTGGAAGGAAAATTAGAAGTGCCGGGTGAGGAGAGGGGAGAGATAAGGGGCTGAGAACACCCCCTGTCCCCATGAGGGCCTCCTGCCTAGAATAAGTGTGAACTGGGAGAATTTTTTCTTTTAAAACAAAATTAGAGTTTTAACTATAGCACAGGAGCAGATATCTTAATTACCACCCTAAGATGATGCTGCATGCCTAGAAGTGATGGGAGAACTCTTTGTGCTACTCTGGCGTGTAGCATGTGTCATGTGTCATAGCATGTGTCTGTATTTCACCGGGGGACAAAGAAAAAATTAGTCCCACAGAGTGGACCTAGAAAGGCAGTGGGAGACAAACAAAAGTGACTACCTGACTCCCCTCCATGGTTGCATGTGCATATATATCCTCCTCCATGATCGGAGGTCTGCTGTTATACCAGCTGCCAGCCCCTGCAGCACAAAGGCCCAGCCCTAGGGCTGGGGGCAGGTGCTCTCCGTACCTCACGGGTGGCTCTGGAAGGCTCCATGAACTGGGACGAGCTCAGCCACAGCTCCGTGTTTCAGCATACAGCAGCTCCTTCCACTTCTGCTCACATCGCAGTTAACAGAATTGGTCCACCAGGGTATGTGGTAACTGCAAAAGCTGTTTAACACATTCAATAAATACTTTCCACATTCCATACATATTTGTTGAGCAGCTACCCTGTGCCTAGGATTGTTGGATAGAAGTACAAATGTAGAGCCTCTGGCTTCAAGAAACTTCCAATCAATGCAAACTCTGGTATGCCTATATATATCTCGTATTCTGTTTTAATCCTCTTATGTATCTGTTCTTGGTCAACATGTATTTTAAATTCTTAGAGCTCTGAATTTGATTTACTTGTTTTTCCAAAGTTACCCCTGTGAGTTTTGTTCCTGGCTATAAAAATCAGAGCAAAGATTAGTTTTGTGGTTTGAATGAGAAGCTTAACATAAGAGACCACAAACTTCAGATTGGGAAGAGTTTCTCTTACTGGAGACTTCAAATGTGTACAAAACCCTTTTGTTGTGTGTAGTATTACAGAGACACATGCACACAAATACAATTATTATTTTTAGATTTCTCAGGTTTCATTTACGTGACCTACTATTTTTTTTAAGGCTGAAAGAGGGCCTAAGGACTAAAATAAATTGCTCTTCTTAAGATGTGGGAGTAGCACTGAAATTATCCTTTTGAAAAGCAGAGGGCCAGATGGCCTATCTATATGATTCTTTGAAAGCACTTAATTCCACAAGAGATGGCTCATGAGATGGTTTCAGATTTTCTTTCAGGAAGCGAGAGTTGAGATGAAGCTGAGTGGTTAACGTTCGTAGCACAAGACCCAGGCGCCAATGAAGGGAAATGGAGCAGGGGCCACAGCTCTACCTGAGGTACAAAGCTCAGATGTTGCTCAGTAACTAAAGGACCAGAAGCAGAACGAGAGGACCCTAAGGGTTGATAAACGATCAGGAGACCTTGTGGGCTAAGCTAGGCAGGGGGGCCATTGTCACAAGTGCAGCAAAGGCTCTTAGCACTTGCTGACTTCTTTCGTGAAACAATGAGCTTCCGATACTCTCAGCTCCCGTGCCACCTGCCCCTTGCAATTTCCCTTAAGCTGCCCATCAGTTCTCGCTGTAGCCAAAGCCAGCTTCGTTGTCCCTTAAGCCTCACTCTGCACCAGTATTTCCAGGACTAAATCAGAGCCCATCCAAAGAGATCTAGCCCATAAAAGAAGTGGGAATGCCACTGTTTTATCTAAAACCTAATGTATTTCTTTGCTCCCTGACTGGCAGTAGGTTATTATCCATAATAACGAGGAAATTTCCTTCAACGAATCTTTGCTTGTTCCCTGGGAAGGCCCCCTACACCTGCCCCATAGAAACTAAATTACCCTTAACCAGCTCAATGCCACTAGCGGCTTCCCTTCTACCCCCTCCCCTTCACAACATCTCAGGAGAGCTGCCCAGCCTCGATAAAGCCTTACTTCCCTCGGAATTCAGTTAATTCACCTTTCCCCTCAAGGATACACACGGTTTCTGCTTCACGGAGTATCCTTGGCACATCACTGGCCCACGCCTCTTTTGCACCACCAGAATCTCCCGAACTTTATCAGAGATGATACAGATGTAATTAAACCTGAATTCTAGTCTCTCCTTGTGACAACTCAGCGGACAATTAATGATGATAAAAGAGGCTGCCAGCTGCTGCCTGACATACCAATGTGAGCCTCCAACTCCAATGAAGATGGAGAGTGAAGGGCAGCTCTCTCTGGCTCCATTTCGATCTGTCTTTCATCTCACACTAGCTAAAAAGTAATACTCACTTTGGGGAAATTTAGATTCTTTCTTCTCCCTTCTTAAAAGCACCAAACAGACAATCGAGGGTAATGCAACATCTATGAAATAAATAAGAATGCTTCCAGGAAGAGTAATTTCACCTTTACCACCAGGGATTCAAGCCTAAAGCCAGAGAAGCAGGCTGTGCTCTTCATCACTGACCCTCAAGGAGAGGGTGTGCCCACTGCCTCTGCCATGGGAACATATCAGTTGGTAGGGAGGGACCTTCGTAAGGGGAACACGTGATGGATTTTGCCACAATCATTCTGTTTCACTCAAAACTAACTTTGGTCACATTCGTCCCTTTGTCTCCAAAATTTCAGATTTAGCCATGACTGGAGCCCAGTGCAATAACATGCTTGGAGGGGGACGAAGGCTTGAGGGAGACATGGCCTGTGGAGGGAGATGACTGGAGAGAAAATAATCAAAACAAGAAGATGAGAGGGAATAAGAGAAGCTTGTTGAACAGTCATACTTCAAAACGAACGCTGAGGCTCCTTGGCAACCGAGCGGCGCTGCCTGCCTCCTGTGTTGCTTTCTGCTTAACAGTTTGGTGTTTGCGGGGCTCGAGAATCCATTTAGACAATTCCCAGAAGAAAAAATGCAAATGACTCACAAACACATGAAATAAATGTTCAACATCACTTATAATCAAAGAAATGCAAATATAAAACAACAAGATAGCATTTTCACCTATCAAATTAACAGAGATTAAAAGGAACTCTAATACTCAACAAGGGTGGTGAGATGGCCCATCTCTCACTGCTGGAGTGCTCATTGGTACAACCCTTCTCCTGGGCAATCCTGCAATATGTAGCGAAAGTCTTGAAAATATGCATATTCCATGGCCTTTCCCTTCTAGGATCCACCCTATGGACATAAACAGTAATCCAAGCAAGGCTGGGTACAAATGTTTCATTGAGAAGTTATTTTCAACAAGAAAAAGTCCAAAAAAGTACAAGAAAAAGTACAAAAAAAATTACTTTGTTATAAATTGTATAATATAAATATAAAATATACAATATAAATATAAAAATAGATTGCAACATTCCTTCACTAGTTAATATTATGCAGCAAATTTATGTGTTTTAAAGACTATGATATACTATGAAGCAAAAAGGCAATATTGTATATGTAATGTGATCCCAATTTTTAAAATTTAATATATATATGAGAGAAAGAAAGAAAATACATCAACATTTTAACAGAAATTATTTCTGTGTAGGTGATTTCAGTGGATGTTTATTCCTTTTTCATACTTTTCTGTATTTTCAAAATTCTCCACAAGGAACATATGGTAATCAGAAAATGTAAGCAGCATTTTAAAATGATGTAAATAAAGGATTAAAAGTGTATTAGTCAGGATAGGATTTATAACAAACCAACCCCAAATGTCAGTCACTTAAAACAAAAAATGTTGCAAATCTACTAGGGCCTCCTCCTCCTGTTGCCTCACTCATGACCAGAAACTGATGGAGCCTGCATCGTCTGGAGGACCACTGGTCGCCATGACAAGGGAAAGGGAACATGGCAAATAATACAGTGGCTCTTACTGACTTCCATCCAGACAAGTCATTTCCACTTACGGTTCATTGGCCAAAGTAAGTCACATGACTACTTTTTCATAAGGCAGATTGGGAAGTTTAATCCTACTAAATATGCCTAGAGGGAAGAAAACTAGAAATATTTATGAACAGAACCAATATTTACTACTCAAAAAATGTTCATTCTATTCTTAAGAATTAACTAGATGTCAAACTGAAGGTCTTTCCTCTGTGCCTCATTAGCAGACAAGAGGTGACATTAAGCATCATTCACAAGACCCTAGACAACTTGGTTCTGCTTCTCATTTTGGTGTTTGGAGCCTAAGCTATTTGGGAGATGCCACTATTGCAAGCTCGAGGCTATTTAAAAAGGTAAAAGGCTTCAAACATCCCAGAGCTACACTAGAGAAACATGCCTTCTTTCCGGGGTCCATGGAGGAGCCAAAGGAATACCAGCATTCTGAACATAGAAAAATCAAAATGAGCAACGTTAGAAGTGTCGGCCACCTTTTCCCAATGTTGGAGAACAGGGCCTAAGCGTATATCCAAGGTCCTTAACCCAACCACTAGGAATGGTTTCCAGGTCAGTATAATCTGCTTTTTTTTTAAATCTGCACTCTCCATATAAAAGATTAGAACACCTCAATTCCAAAATATAGCTGTTAATATTAAAGAAAATACCAGATAATCCCCCACACATTCAAGCAGTCCATCATAGTCACTCTATCGAGTACCTTTTTAAAATGTTTTTCTATTAATAAAAAACTAATATGAACTTATGAATAACAAAAGTGGAAGGGAACATTGTCTGAACATTAAATCAGTTCACATTTTTCTTCATTAGAATATAACTTGAACCATGTTAAAAATAAAAGTTAATTGCATAGATTGTTAGTTTGCAGCGTGCATTGGTTGCCCTCTCTAAGGGATGCAGGTAATCACAGAAAATCCGATTTAAGCCAGAACCCTCAGGGTTATCATACAATCTTGTTCATCACCCACAATAGCTAACAGGCCATCAAACCCTGTAGATTCTAAGCTTCTTAAATACCCATTTCATCTGATTCTTTCTCTCCATGCCCAGTTCCTCTCCTCAAAACCCTTCTTTTGATGGGTTTTGGCAATGATGAGCAATGACCTCTTCTTTTACTCAGGATGAAAGCCAGAGTCCTTCTATGACCTGAAACTCTACACGATCACTCTTCAGTGACCTCTCTACCCAAATCTTCCATCTTCTCCCCTCCTTCCTGGGCTGCAGCCACACTGGCCTCCGAACTCGTCTCTCTAAACCCTGGGCACACACAGCTCCCTCTCTTTGGCTTGCTCTCTAGCCAGAGAGTCACCCACCTCATTCCCTCTCTGCTTTCAGGTCTTTACTCAAATGTAACCTTCTGATGAGAACTTCCTTGACCTCCCCTTCAAAACTCCAACACTCCACTCCCCAACACTTTCAATATTCTTTCCCACTTTATTTTTTTTCTCCGTAGTAGTTAATACCTTCTCTAAAACACTACGAACTTCAAGTTCTTATTTTTTGATTGCCTGTCTGTCACACTAGATAGAATGTAAGATCCATGAGGACAGGGACTTTGATCTGTGCTGTCCACTGCTGTATCTCTAGTGTCTACACCAATGCCTAGCACATAGTAGGCATTTAAATATATTTGTTAAATGAAGAGATGAATGAATATAAAAGAGTAAATAGCATTTCCCAAAATTATTCTAACACAAATTCCTTTTTCATCAGGCATTTCACAAGACCAGCTGTGAACAAATATTCACACCCTTTCCTGCTCTCCTTGTCTGCTAAAGAGCCTTCTGGCTTTGCCTGCTTGGCCTTTTCCTTCCTCCGCTCTCTGAGAAGGGTTCTCCCTTTGTCAGTCCTTGAGATCCACTACAGGTTATGGAGAATGGGCCCATCTTACTGTGGTAGACATTAATACATAAGAGATAAAAAGCATTCCATTAATCCTTTCTTCGGGTAGAGTTTTTCAACAAATCCACTTCATTTATTAAAAAATCATTCACTAAATGCTAGCTACATGCCAGGCACTGTGTTAGGCCCCTAGGACTAAAATGACCAATAGGACAGAGTATTTGACCTCTGGGGAGATGACCATAGAGCCAACTAGTTGGAGAATTGGAGTAAGTACGAGGACAGACATATGACCAAGGGTTATGGAGATTCAGAGGGATGCTTCACTGTCTACAAAGGCCAAAGTATGCTTTGCAAAAGAGGTAGCCTTTGAGCTACATCTTAAAAGATATGTAGGACCTTTCTGTAAGAGTCATTCCAAGCAGACAGAAAGGTGGTGCAAAGGCATGGAGGTATAAGAAGAAACTATAGCAGCTTGGATCAGTCAGAGGAAGCAGAGGGGTGGAGGAGCAGTTCCAAGTGGGGAGATACGGATGATAGTCAAGGCCCAGATCAAGGAAGGCCTTGTAGGCCCTGCTGCAAAGCTTGCCTCAACTGCAGCTAAAACTTTTCTTTGTTCAGAGACTTTGTGGAGGAGTGAATTCCTAGAGAGGGGTCACACTGGAGCAAGAACTCTAGGCTAGGAAAGGGACCTGGGTGGCTGGTGTGGTTGGGTCCCCCATTGCCCGCTCTCCAGACTCAGTAAACTGGGCCTCTACATACACATATTCAGACTTGCACAGTACTGCTATGTGTGACACCAGTCTGCCATGTCTGTTCATGAACAAGGTCTTGCTGGACACTCCATCAGTGTGTTGCTCCTGATCATGCTGCCACCCTACTGTGCTGATGCTGAAGTCACCCATCACGGTTCTTGTAAGGCTCAGAGCGTGAGCAAAAGAAGATGCCAATGAGGTTCTGGTTGCGTCCCTTCCTATGCAGCCCTTCCTGACCTCCATGTTCTAATTGTGTCACCTTCCCAAAATCATGCACACCACACAGTGAAATACCTACCTTATGTCAGGCACAGAGCCAACAATTGGTCCAGTACTAAGTCCGGACTCTCCTTGGCCGTGCCTCTGCCTACACAGCACTTAAAATTCCTTGGAGCCATGGAACTTCACAGAGTCAGCTTTCTATTCTACTTATTTGTGTATAAGTCTGTCTCCTTTACCAAGTCATAAGCTTCTTGAAATCAGGAACTACGTCTTAGGCATCTGCGCATCTATCAGGTGCCTCACATGATGTCTGGCACACAGTGAGTGTTCAATAAATATTTGCTGAATTGAAAGTAATTGTGCAAGCAAGATCAATCAGAGGTGGCCGTTGAGAACTGACTTCACTAAAACTATCCCATGATACATACGAGACTCACATCTGAGCTGGTCCACAATCCCAAAATGGAGTGCTGAATCCAAAGGAAATTAGGATTCCAGACTCCCAATAGAGGGCAGCACATTTGTAACACCAAGACATAATCTGATGCCCAATCACCAGTCTGTGATCATAGCAAACGTACCCCAGCCTGATAGACAGAAGGAAAACTGCAAAGAAAGCATTTATGGCTATAAACAATTTTTCTTTATTCCTCATCTGGGTCCTGAGGCCTGTGATTTGGCTCCAATTTTCCATTTGTGGTTGTTCGTTTCAGATAATAAAACTGTTCCTTTAAAATAATGGAGACTATATTGAACCTAAAAATAAGTATCAAAAGACCAAAGTCCCTGAGCAGGAGCAATCATTGCAAAGGACCGGCCAAACTCCAGACAGCTGTGAAAGGATGCTGGCCCAGGCAAGACGAGCCGGCCTCCCGGCTGATCTGAGTCAACGTGGGCCGACTGACAAACTGAAATAGGCAAAATTTTAAAGTACAGAAAACAAACACGCATGGAGCAACAGTAAATGTACTTCCCAATGAACCTTGCTCTTATTTGATCGTTATTGTCCCTAACTCTTTGCAGTATTGTTAGGGTACTTCACAAAATGGATAGAAAATGAGCATTCGACATACTGGGGAAAAAAAGCAGAAGGAAGAGCTACTTGTGCATTTCCAAGAGAAATAACACTGGGTCCAATTTTGCTGTTAGATATAATAAGTCCCAGTAAGTATGCAAATGACAAGTAAGCCAAGCTGATGTGGCTTTCTTTGAATACTGTGTGTGTCTGTTCCCTGATGCATTCAGAGAAAAAAAGTGACAAAATCATTCTGTAAACTCCAAGTGAAATAGTTGCCAGGAGTCTGCAGCAATTTCAGAACTGCCTTCCCCCAAAAGATCTGGATCTAGACAATTCACGAACACCACCTATATTTATTTTTCAAGAAACCTCTGTGTAAAGATAATTCTCCTAGGAAGTACGGCATCCATGTGCATGCATTAACCCTTCTCGAAGGAATGTTTCCGTATCTCTCGTTTAAGGGAGGCATCCCAACCAGCTGTTATTTGATCAATTGTTTTTAAGAGTGCAATAGATTTTCTCGTCATTCATTTATTCAATAAACACTTATTGAGTATCTACTATGTACCGGACACTCTACTAAATGATACCAGAAAAAGTGTTAGTTTCTATCCTCAAAAAGCTCAGAGTCTGGTAGAAAAGTTACAAGGAAAGAGACAGGGACAATTAAACAAGATGAGGACTATGATTCGGTAACACAGAAGACTGGCCCTGAACCCAGCCTGGTGGGCAAGCACTGAGATCAGAAAGGCTTTCTGGAGAAAATCGAAGATAAGCAGTAAAGGAGGTATCTCTCAGCCAGGTGGGTTTGATAGGATCTGTGGAGAAAAAGAGACTTATTGTCATCTGCTTATCAATAGCAAAAACAGAAACTAATATTGGTCAAGAGCTTACTCTATGCCAGGCATTGAGCTAATTACTTTGAATATTAGATCTTGCAGAGGAGACATTGTTAATACATACAAAACAGTAGGATATCAACATATGGCTGTGGTGGGAAGAATACTGGCCCCCAAAGATGTCCATATTTTCATCCCTGGAACCTGTGAATGTATTACATTGGTACAATATGGTTACATGGCAAAAGGGGCTTTGCAGATGAAATTAAGGTTCCTGACTTGAAGACAGGACCGTGGATTATCCTGGATTACCGGGGTGAGCCCAGTGTAATCACATAGGCCTTTAAAAAGGGGAGAGGCAGAAGAGGGGGTCAGAGTGATGAAATGTGAGGACTGCCCCTGCCACTGCTGGCGTTGAAGATGGAGGAAGGAGGCACGAGCCAAGCAGTCTGGGTGGCCCCTAGCAGCTGAGAACAATCCCCCAGCCGCCAGCCAGCAAGGGAAGGGGGACCTCAGTCCTACAATCACCTGGAACTCAGTTCTGCCAACAAATGGAATGAGCCCAGAAGCAGACTATCCTGCTTGGTGGTAGACCTGCCAACGCCTTGACTTCAGCCTGTGAGACAGGCAGAGAAACCAACCCGACCGAGCCCGCTGGATTTCTGACCTCCAGATCTGTGAGACAATAGATCTGTACTGTTTTAAGCAGCTTAATTTGTGGTAATTTGTTATGACGGCAATCGAAAACTGATAGAATGGCGTTATCTGATTAAGTGACCAAGTAAAATGAATGGGAAAAATATTACTATTACACCGACTATGTGCCGAGAGCCCCTCACACACCATTCCCTCTAACCCTCATAAACAGGCAAGGTTGGTGTTGTTCCCCCCATTTCACAGACGACAAAACTGAAGCACGGAGATTTTTAAAGAGCTGAAGTCACAGCTAATTGGTAGCAGAATCAGGATTTGAGCCCAGGCCTGTCAGATACCAACGCTCCTGCCCTTTCCACTACACCATGCTGCTCCCAGGTAATTATTCTTTACATGTGTGTATGCTGGGCCAGAAGCACTTATCTGCGCATTATCTTAATTGAACCCTGCAGTGGTTGGTGAGGCACACTGGGCAGGAATCATTTGCCCTTTTTTCCACATGAGGACACTCGATCTCAACATAAATGGTGAGCTGCCTGTGGCCCAGAGTAAGAACACAGGCCTTCCGGCTGCCAGCCCCACCCTCTCCGCTCTACCACCTCAGCCGAGCGGAGTGTCCGTGAATTACATCACCCTCCCACACATGAACTCAGTCCGGTCAAGTTTGCCTTGAATATTGGCCTGTTCTCACAGAGCAGTGGGAGTGAGCTGCTGTTAGGAGAGAAAATGCTGATGGAGCCCTGGATGGGAAGGCAGTACTTTAAGTGAAACTGACACCTGTAGCTACACTGCTAGAGCTGTGTGAAGGTTCTTTGCTCCACTTAGGATGATAGTTATCAATAAATCCTGTAATATGGCTTTGGTGTAGAAAGCCACATCTTCAGTGTCTTCCACAGCTGTGCTGGGGATGAGTAATGATGCTCTAAATGTCCCATTGGTACTTATTTAATATATGAGTTCCTAGAGTCATTTTGTGCCCTGCACTTGGAAAAAAAATAAAATCTCATTTCTGAGACGTCCCCAAAGAAATCTGCTTTATCTGTAGCAAAATCCACTTACCAGAAGGTCATTCCGGAATGTCTCTGTGGGCCAGGTAGAGTGCTAGGCACCAGCAATGCTGGTCCTTGCTTCATGGGGCTTACATTCTGTGTACAAATGAGTTAGCAAATGAATGAGGATTATATTTGACAGATATAGTGAAGGCAATAAACAGGACCTGAGATAAATTGGAGGTGCTTATTTTAAGGGCACATAGGAGCAGAGGTTCTGACCACAAGGATTAGAAGCCTGGAGCAGTAGGGCTTCTGCACTGCCCGACTCAGAGAGCTTCCTCACATGGTAATCCCTCTGAGCCGGGCCCTGTAGGGGGTGGAGCCTAAAGCAATGGAGAGATCCTCCATGGCAGAGCCCAGTGTCGCTGGGAGGTGGGGGAGAAGGTGTAAGTGATTCAGTTCCCGCAAAATACGCCTGGTCTGCTTCTCTGCATTTGGGACCTCCAAGGACTTCCTCTTCATTGCAGTGTTAAGCACTTGTCAAGCACATGTGGAGTTAGGCTGTTTATTTAACCTCTCAGGGCCTCGGTTTCTTCCTAGGATTGTGTCCGTGCATGTAAATCACTGAAAAGTGTTCAACACAGAGTAAGTGCTCAAGAAATACAAACAGATAGGGGCTGGCCCCGTGGCCGAGTGGTTGAGTTCGCGCGCTCCGCTGCAGGCGGCCCAGTGTTTCGTTGGTTCGAGTCCTGGGCGCGGACATGGCACTGCTCATCGAGCCACGCTGAGGCAGCGTCCCGCATGCCGCAACTGGAAGGACCCACAACGAAGAATACACAACTATGTACCGGGGGGCTTTGGGGAGAAAAAGGAAAAAATAAAATCTTTAAAAAAAAAAAAAAAGAAATACAAACAGATCCTGGTACATGGTTAGCACTTTATAAATTTTAGCTATCTTGAGGGTGTGTTTGCTCTGAAAAGTGAAGAAAAGGAACTAGTCAACCCACTGGATCCACAGTGAACATATATATACATGTCTCACTATCATCATCGCCCCAATAAAATGATGCACACCGTTAAGGGTTGAATTGAGTCCCCCCAAAACAATATGTTGAAGGCCTAACCCCCAGTACCTCCAAATGTGACCTTATTTGGAAATAGGGTCATTGCAGATGTAATTAGTTAAGATAAAGTCATATTGGAGCAGAGTGGGTCCCTAATCCAATATGACTGATGTCCTTAGAGAAAGGGGAAATTTGGACGCAGACACAGACGTGCATAAAGGGAAAACGATGTGAAGACACTGGGAGAAGATGGCCATCAACGAGCCTAGGAAAGGGGTCGGGATCAGATTCTTCCTCTCGGCCCTCAGAAGGAATCAATCCTGCCAACACCTTGATCTCAGAGTTCCAGCTTCCAGAACTGTGAGATAAATTTTTGTTGTTTAAGCCACCCAGTTTGTGGTGCTTTGTTATGGCAGCCCCAGCGAACTACACATGTTCCTCAAGGGTAAGAAGTACATGTTGTTGAACTCTGAGTGCCCAGCAGCTAGCAGAGGGCTTGGGAATACTTGCTGCTCAATAAACATGTATTAAGTGAATACATGTTAACAAATAAATAAATGTCTAGTACGGTGCCTCGTATTCCCAGAAAAACATGCCAGAGGAATGATATTTAGGCCCACAACCAGACTGGTGCCAAGAAGAAGATGTGGCTGACAGTGGAGGATCCATCAAATGTGGAATTGGCTATCTCTAATCAAAATGCAGACAAGTGCTTGACACTGCGATGAAAAGGAAGTCCTTGGAGGTCCCAACTGGAGGCGACACAGCTGTACTCAGAAGGCCTCTGGGGCTGGACGCCCTTATCTGAGAGCACTGTGCCTGGGAGCAGGCCCCCTCCTCACACTGGCCAGGGTCAGGCATCAGTCCCCAGTGAGGGAAGCTGGCAAAACTAAGTAGCATCCCCATCAGTAAAAGAGTCTGAGGAGCCAACAAGGTGTGCAAAGAGAGTCTCAGAATGGGGAAAGTTCTAGAAGCCCAGGCCGACAATCTGAGAAGGCAAGGGGGATGCGGACTCATACTCGGGAAACGACATGAGAAGTCAGGGGTCAGCCTGCCATGAGGGAGTGCTCAATTCTGAGCCCACTCAACTGGGGGATGACGAATGTGAGGCCTCTCCCCAAGAGGAGTAGAGATGAGAGGGCAAGGCCATCCAGTCAAGGGCTCTGGGGTCGGCAGGGCCAGAAGGGTAAGGAAGAGCTTCAACATGGGGCAGACAGAGTGGCCAGAGTTAAGGTGGTAATTCTACAGAGCAAAAAGAAGAGAGAAAAGAGGAGTTTTTAATTGAACTATTCTAATTGACAGCTGACTCTACGCTGCTCAGATCCTCAGGTAATTGCTCAATTCTCCATTTCATTTCATCTGTGTAGCTCCAGCTCTGGCGGTTAGTTGGAGGGGGGAGGGCGGGTTTAAGAACTGATTAAGGGAAATCACTCCTTGCAGGCCTTAGGTTATTCTTGTTAAAAATGACGCCAGGAAAATCATAATTAAAATGGCAACATGGTGAATAACAAGTGCCCCTTTCCTTGACTGTGAAATAAATTTTAACAGCTACCTTAGCTAAAGAACCCAACACATTCGACCTTCCAATAAGGGTAAGCCGAGTCTTCTAGTGGAGTGAAATAGAAACTATAAATCAAATGTTTCATATCTAAAGTCCAAGCCGGCTCCAGGGAGGAAAATTCCACCCTCCAACAACAGTCTGCTTTTTTTCACTGGCTGGCTATCAGACTTTCTTGACTCCAGAACTATATGGATACTGTTTCTTCATCTTAAATCTGTGAAACTACCTTCAAGAGCTGTAGTGTTGACTACTGGTGACATACTATCCAAGATAAAGAAGCCGGTCAATAATAAATGTGCCCATGTGCGAGATTCTATCAAGCGCATGTGGTTGAGATGGAATCGTTGGGAGGGAGGAGAGAGGGAGAGAGGGAAGGGACCAAGGTGGAGTAGGGGGAAGTGTTGCAGAGAGATTCTGGAGAAGGAGGCAGCCAGCAGGAAGCAGAGTGTTAGCTCAAATGCCGGTTAGAGAAGGGTTTATGTTGATAATCTAATTCTTCTGATTCAAGTACAATGAAAATTTCCTTCCCTAAGCCTACGTTTTCTCTGATCTCCCCAAACTCAGCATGGAACCCAACAACATCCTTCACTAAGGGAGCGCTTAGATCTCAAATGAGACAGGCTGCCTATAGAAACTTCTAATGTCTTTTCAGGATGCTGTTTGCTAACTAGAGGAGTGCTCCAAGCTATTTGGTGACTGATACCTCCATCCTGTTGAAAATACCAGTGAATTGTCCCTCAGAAGTTTGGTTCAGGGCAAGACGAAATGTGCTCCCAAGGTCACAGTCACATTCCATGGACCCTCCAGAGCCGCTCACAACTCTCCGATGACTCTTTGATCATCTTAATGGGCTTGCTGTAGAGTGACAGTGGGAGTCGCAGGGTGCGGTGCAGCCAGCGCACTGTGGGAGCCGGGTCTCAGGGAAAGCTTGCAGCCTTTGCAACAGGCAGTTGAACCTCCTGCTGACCCAGCCCAGTATGTTCAATGAGGCAAGGTCCGGAGCTCCAGGATTCCTCAGCGCCCTTCTCTCCCTCACACACTCCTCTTGGTACCTAGTCCAGGGTATGCGAAATCACAAAATTACAGCAACGAAGTAGTTGAAGGCTCAGTGCCTGTTCCAGTTACTGAAGCTTAGCTCCTTCCTCTGCGTCCACCCTCCCGGCGCCCTTCCTGTCCTTGTGCTGGGATGTCTTCAGTCCAAGCTCAGAGAGGTCTCTCAGAAAACGACCCTGGAAATCTAAAGGGTGACTGACACACTTCCACATGCTCATTCGGGAAAAACCTGTGGTTTACCCCTGGCCAACTATGTACAGAGGTCTCTGGCAGACTCCTCCAGCCCTCCTGTAGATCCCTTAGTCGAGTACTTCTCACCCCTGGATCCCATTAGAATCACCTGGGCAGTGATTGAAAAGAAAAAGGCCACCACCCAGGCCCCACCCCTACAGATTCGGTTTCACTGGTCTGCAGAGAGGTCCAGCCTGGCAGCTGTGTGTTTCAAAACTTCCCCAGGTGATTCTAACGTGCAGCCAAGGTGGGCTCACATCACCCCCAGGTCCTCCGGGTTGTTCTTTGCAAGGACAGACACCTGCTCTTGGGAATACGTGACAAAGGTGGTCTCAGTTATCACTGTCTTCCTGAATAAACCCTCCAGGGGTAAACTTAAACCCAGAATCTGAAGGCCATAGAGGTCATCTTCAACCTATGAATGTGGGGACCTGAAATTGGCCACCCCAAGATGTGTCTCTTTGGCATCAGGATTATTTGAGGCTGATTGCTTTTGATAAACTGGGACAGGGAAGGAGGCTCTGAGGAATGGAACTTGCCCTTTGTTAGGACACGTTTACATTTGTAAGGTAAATCTCTATCTGTAAAAGGTGCCTCCCTCTCTGTACCAGGAAGAAGAAAGGAGATGACCTTCTCTCCAAAAACTCTTAATCAATACCAAAGGCAAGGACTAAAATCTGCATTTTATTGTGCTAGTCTGGTAACCTCCTGTAACTGACTTCCCTCCCCCTCCCAACGTTGGCATCTCCTTAAAGATTAAGCATCTTTCTTTAGGCTGGGAACCGATTGTGGCGCTCATCTGTGACCACCCCCCCCCCAGCCCGAGGCAACACACCTGCCACCCCACGGCGTTCACTGGGACAGCAGACCTATCTGTCGTTTCCATCGAGTTCTGTGCTGACAGAGTGGCCTCGTGACTATTGTAAAAGGGACATTTCAATCATATGTGAAACACCCTGTTTGGGGGTATATAACCACTAAGTGCACCCCACTTCTTCGGTGCCCTTTCTTCCTTCGGGAAGAAAGGCCCCGGGCCATGGCTCCTCATAAGGCTTTGTTTAATTTTCTCTTGCTATTCTGTCTCATGTGAATTTAATTCGTTCTCCGGCCAGACGAACCCCCATTTGGGGAGAGGAAATGTCCTCCTCCCCTACATGAACTAGAATACAAACCATCTATTTATTCACATTAAACAAATATTCGTTGAATACCTACTATGCACCAGATGCTCTGCTAGGAGATAAGACACAGCATGTGCATCAGTTTCTCCATTTGATTTGCTCTCCCTTTGGCCCCTTCATATTTGGAGACCTAGTTTTCTGCTTCAAATTCATTTTCTCTCTCTCTCTCTCCCTTGCTCTCTCTCACTCTCTTTCTTGACTTTTACATATACTTTCATATACATAGACGTTTACTTATAAATCTGACAGTTCATGCTCATCAATAAAAGACTAATTTTCAACAGATTCCTAAGATTCAGTGTAATTAAAATATGAGAAACTGCCCACATAGAGTATGAACACACCTCCCGCACCCTCCTTTCATGACTTTCCACCTCCTGATCAAGTTTCTATTGTGTTAGCCTAAAGATCTAACTGATGCTAAATTTTCAAGAAGCCCAGACAAAGAACCTTTGCTACTCTCTCTGCTCTGCCCTTTCAAGTGTTAAATTTTTACCAAGCTGTCAGGAAATACACAATCATGAAACTCCCCAACCAGATTTCATAATTCTTGTGTATGCCTGAAACCCTGAGGGAAAGGGAAGAAAATCCTGCTGCTGTAAAGACTCTTACCAGAGCCTGAAAGACCAAAGATCTAGGACCACAAGAACGAGTGGCTCTAATTAATCACGCGTCACTCTGACTCTGTGCTGCTGCTCTGCCTCCTGCCTGCTGTCACCATCGGTCCCGATTCCAATTATGTCTACATCTGTCTTGCCCGCTGGACTAGCTGAACCACAGTCTGTGTCTTATGCCCATCCCCCAACAAAGACCATATATAATCAGAGTTTCCGTGTATTGAGCACTTACTGTGTGCCAGGCGCTGTCCAGATGGTTTTCATATTAGCTCATTTAATCATCAGCCCTATGAGTTTAACACTTTGTTATTCTATTATTCAGATGGGGAAACTGGAGTCCAAAACCCAAGCAACTTGTTTCCATTTACACAAGACATGGGAGGCAAAATTCTGATTCAACTCCAGCCCATCTAGCTCTGATCCTACTCTCTTAGCCACTACGTACAATGCTGGCACTTAGACAAATAAACACAGTTGTTTCCAAGGTTCTTATTCAGTAGGAGGCAGCAGGAGTATTTACGAGATACGTAACCTTGAGAGAATTACTAAACTTCTCTAAGCCTTGGTTTCGTCTTCTAGAAAAGGAGAGTAAGAATAACACTGAGCTCATGGGGTTAGTGTGACGATTACATTAGACAGTGCACATGAAGCACTTAGCGCAGTGCCAGGCATGTAGTAAATACTCGATAAAAGCTAGATGCTGCTGCTGCTACGTGGTACTTGGCTTTCTACCACGAGGAGCACCTTGGGTTACTCCCCAGTCTGCGTGGTCACTGGCTCTCACTGTAAGAGCAGTAGACAGGAGTCATGAATTTTTTTATAACTTTATTTAGATATAATTCATATACCAATACCATTCCCCATTTGAAGTGTACGATTCAACGGTTTTTAATATACTCTCAGAGTTGTACAATATCATCACAATCAATTTTAAAACCAATTTAGAATTTAGAACCAAACAAAGAATTAATTCTGGGGAATATTTCATCACCCAAAAACGAAACTCTGAATCCATTGGCAATCACCCTCCATCTCCCCCCAGCTCTCACCCCCCGCCCCCAGCAACTACTAATCTACCTCCTCTATATTCTGGACATTTCATATCCATGGGATCTTGCAATACATGGTCCTTCACGACTGACTTCTTTTACTTCATATAATGTTTTCAAGATTCGTCCAGGCTTAGCACGTATCAATACTTCTTTACTTTTGGCCACCAAATAATATTCCATTGTATGGATAGACCACATTTTATTTATCCATTCATTAGTTGATGGCTATTTGGGTTGTTTCTACATTTTAGCTATTATGAATAACGCTGCTATGAACACTGGTGTACAAATTTTTGTGTGAACATATGTGTTCATTTCTCCTGGGTATACACTTAGAAGTCTATGTCTAGTTCTTTTGAAGAACTGCCAGATTCTTTTTCACAGTAAATAGCCATGAATCTTGCCCTTGCTTCTAGATGACCTGGAACAAGTCACTGCACCTCACTAAGCCCCAATTTCCTCATCTGCAAAATGAGGGTACTTTCTCATTGTACCCTCACTGCACAGTGCGCTCACTGCCTGATGCGTGGTAGGTGCTTAACACAGGCAAGTTCTCTGCTGTCCTTGGCAAACGGTCCCCTGCCTGTTCCTCCCTCTCGAGTCTGGAAGGCCTGTACCATGGAAGGCTTGAGTGCAGCCTGATGGAGGCATTGGGTGGGGAAAATCAGAGCACGAAGTCGTACTCCCTTTCTGGATCATGTCAGCAGTCTCTAAAATAGAGAAAAAATAAATAAATAAACGACTCCCAACTCAAGTGTGTGTATGTTCTCTCTGCTTCTATAAACTGGACTTTTGCCCAGAAACCGCAACAAGTCAAGAAGAAATCAATAGTCCAAGTTTTATATGCTAATGTAATTTGGTGAACCATGTCGTACAGCAAGCTGGGTTACAACAACATTCTCTTGATTGCCAGAGTTTCTTTCAGGCCGCCTCTCCAGAAGGACCTCCAAAAACAAGATTCAGCAAAACCGTTGTCCACGTGGGCCCAAGCAAAGCACAGGAGTGTGAGTCCTCAGTCCCATCATGCTGAAGGCCTGATTAGCATTTCTGCTTCTGGAAGAAAAGACTGACAGGCCGTCAGTCCCAAATAACAATAATAGAGCTCTGCCAAAAGGAGCCGTTCGGTTCTATGGGGAGTTATTGTTATTCAGGGTAAAAATACCCCGTGGGCAGATTCACATCACTGCAGAAGTTGCTTTCAGAGTTACTTTGCAAAACCTGGGGGGAGAAAAAAGAAGGAGAAAACTAGAAAAAGTTGTGCATGCCATATTTCACATTGTGAGGAATAGTTTTGCTCTGGGGACAGTAGGCAGGACGTTTGGAGAGACCTCTCCGAGCATACGGGAAAATGGAAGGATTTCTGTCTTTAGCCGCAAAGATAGTAAATAATAGGACGGACGGAAGATTCAACACAATGAGGGCTGCTCCATTACTGCTGGCTCCATGCGGGTGTGGAGGTCACGCTGGAGATGAAGCCATTGTCCCAGGCTTTCTTCCCTGGGCTCCAGCTTCTGTCTCCCTCTGCAGTAATGCTAATTACGGAGTAAGAAAAACCAATCTCTTCTTTTTCTGAAGACATTAATCAAACCTATCAAAGAAGTACAAAAAAGAAAGAAAGAGAAAAACTTTCAAGTGGGGATTGCAATGAAAGGTTTAAGAGAAAAAAATATATAGGATTTGCTTACTATTAGCATAGGAAGGTTAAGAGGAAACACGATAATTAAGTGAGTAAAAGCCACTTGGGATGTTCTTTATACATTTTCTACATAAAAAAACACATAAACTGAGTATCGGAGCCTCCTTCTAAGCACCCAGTTGTCCCTGAGTAAAAATGCAGGCCAGATAAATACACTGACAGCTCCCAGGTGTAATAGTACTGGTTTTGAGCTGAATTTTATACAGAGCAGGTGTGGCACAGAGCCCTTCAGCTCCTAAAGTGCTGAAACGACCTCATTAGAGGAGTCGGCGCCTGAGAGGCCTGGACTCCAGCAAACACCACCAGCGGGGACAGGGAAGGAGATGGAGTGTCTGATGGTGAAGCTAGAAAATAAGTACAGTGGCCTTATTGAGTGAAACTGGGGTATGGTTGGGGGGGGTGAATGTTTTCCCGGAATATTGCTGCTCTGGATCAGAAGAAAATAATGCAAAATTCAGTCTCCAAACCTAAGCTGCTCTCTACGTATGGCCTCCAGGACTTTGTTTAGGCTGTTGCCTCTGCCTTACCCCAGGCTAGCCCACTCATCATGTGGTCTCTACACACAGCCCACTTTGCGTAGCCCAACTTCCCCAGCTCCCAAGGCTGAGCTACGTGACGCCACGTGTTTGCACGGCTCCCTGTAATCACCACCTCGTAGGAACTGTCTGTTTACTTCTCCGTCTCCCCACTAGACTAGAAGTTCCCAGAAGAAACAGGAAAGGCATATCTCATTCACGTGCTGCACATTCAGGGGCTCAATAACCATGCTGACTTCATTGAAGTCTCTGAGTGGAAGAGATGGAGCATCTGAACCTAGGTGTGGGGCAAACCCCAAAACAGCCAGCATCCAACATCCAAGGTAAACCAGGTCAAGGACCCGCAGAGGGAGGGGGCCTAGAGAGGCAGTCCTGGAGAAAAACATCTCAAAGACTAGATTTTTCCCCTTCGCAGTCAAAGCCCTTTGGAGCTTCCTTTTCAGAATCTGTGGCTTCTTCTTACTCAGTGTTGGAGCAAAGTCTCTTAGATATTACACGTAAAAAGTCGAAAGCCCTTTGCAACTGTAAAGTGTTATTAAATGAGCATCATAGACCCTGAAAGCAGGTTAGTAGAAGACCAGAGGCAGACGGACCTGAGTTCAAATCCTGACTCTGCTACCAACTAGCAAAGAGGTAAATCACTTAATCTCGCTACACCTCAGTTTTCTTATCGGCAGAATAGTGACAGTAACAGCTGTATCGCAGAGTTGTTACGATGGTTAGATTAAGCAGTGAAAGGCATACATTTGGCACTCTATTGAGCGATGTTTGTTAGCGATGGATGTGTGTGTGTGATGATGTGTTCCAGCAGCATTTAGAGGTCTGATTCCCAAACATTGACTAAATTTGTTCCTCTTACGTCAAGCACTATAAAGATAAACAAGCTACGCGCTATGTTTCCTGCCCTCAGGGAGGTCATAGTGCACTGAATTCAACAGACCCAGGACCGGCTGCAGCACAGAGAGGTGAAGACCCTTGTCCAAGGCTCCCCGTGTGGTAGGACGGGACGCAAACACAGGTCTAGTAACCCCCAGACACTGCTCTTTCCAATAGCTCACATTTCGTGAGAAGCGGGGAAAGGACGTTTCTTTAGCTGCTGTGCCCCTCTGTGGAAGGTAAGTAAAAGAAAAAATAACACCACAGTCATCAGATGGTGTCTCAGTCCCCTTGGGCTGCTACAACCAATACCATAGAGTGGCTGGTTTAAAACAACGGAAACTTCTCTCTCACGTCTCTGGAGGCTGGGAAGTCCCAGATCAAGGCACCAGGAGACTCAGAGTCTAGTGAGGACCCACTTTCTGGTTCATAGACAACCATTTTTCGCTGTGTCCTCACATGGCGGAAGGGGCTAGGGGTCTCTCCTAGGCCTCCTTTAGAAGGCCTCAAGTCCTCCACACTCATGTCCAATCACCTCCCAAAGACTCACCTCCTAATACCATCACCTTGGGGGTTAGGATTTCAATATATGAACTTGGGGGGGGACACAAATATTCAGTCCATAGTAGATGGTAAAGAGAGTGTTTCCTAGTAAGAGTGCAATAAAGGTTATTTCCAAAAAAAAGAAAAGAAAAGGCAAAAAATAACTGCAAGAGTTTTATTTTAACTGTGTTGCCTCATGGGTCACCCAGAGCAGAAAACTTGGGCCAATGAAGACCAAGGAGCCATTTTTCAGCAGTAGCAGGAAATGCAGACAAGCTTCCATTTTTTTCCTGAATTTCAGTAACTCCTCTTTCAAAAAAAAAAAAAAGCTGCCTGTTAAAAAAGCTCTTCCACACCCTGACAGAGAAAGGATTATGTGTGAAAGGAACAAAATCATTTGTGAACATTTTACCTCCCGCTTCACCCTGCAATCCACCCAAAAGACTGGGTCCTGTTAAGCAGAGGGTCTCCTGTTTAGCGGGTAGAGTAGGGGTGTTTCGATATGACTTGAGGGCAATAAATTACTCTACATAAGAAAGGAAGAGCTATTGTGAGGTGCCTTGAGGAAAGTTCCCAACCTAAAATTCTCTTAATAAATACCCAATGTTGGGGCCGGCCCCATGGTCCAGTGGTTAAGTTCCCACGCTCCGCTTCGGCAGCCCAGGGTTCGGATCCTGGGCATGGACATGGCACCACTCATTAGGCCATGTTGAGGCAGCGTCCCATATGCCACACTTAGAAGGACCCACAACTAAAATATGCAGCTATGTACTGGGGGGATTTGGGGAGAAAAAAGCAGGAAAAAAGGGAAAAAAAGAAGATTGGCAGCAGTTGTTAGCTCAGGTGCCAATCTTTAAAAAAATCAATAAATAAATGCACTATGAGCATCTACCTGTATTAGGCATTGACTAGGTGGTGTTCACGCACGCTCCTTCACTGTAGGTCACAACACACTGTAAGTCACAAACATCATTGCTGTGTTCTGTTTTTTAATGAGGAAGCAGGCTTGGGAGGAGAAATGACTTCCTGAAGGTGAAACTATCACCTGTGAAGGCAATGGTGGAAATTAGTTTATGAAAGCTTTATGCATTTTAGGGTGACAAAACACTGAGCACAGAGCTGGGCAGAAACAGGAAAGGAGACCCAGAGGTTCTGGCGAAGAATGGGGAGGGAATGGGAGGAGGGCTCGGGCAGGGCTGTGAAGTTAGGAACGATGGGCTTCTGGGGAACTGCGTAAGGGCAGGAACCTGAGTCGGACAAGGGCCCAGCAGAGAAAGAGCGGAGACTTCTGAGGGGGTCCCAGGGCAGAAGAGAAGGCTAGGCCTTCATCAGAATTTTACCAAAGGCCAAATTGGGGTGAGGTGGAGCCTGGCTACACTCAGACGACATGTGCTCTGTCCCCGATCAACTACATGTTGCTGTTTGACCTTAGTTGGACAAGTCATCAAATCTCCCCAAGTTCTGACATCTTCTCAGCTTCACAGCAATGATGAATTAATACCATTGAAAGGGACTTAAAAACTGCAGGGACCTTGGAAGCATGGTCTGTAGGAAAACTTTCCACTTCTCAACCACCATCTCCGCTGTGTCTGAGGCCGCACCATGTTAAGGGCGCATGATCTATATCTTGGCCTTGATTTGCTCAGGGTCCAATTATTTCATCTGTGTATTGAGAATCCTTTCAGAATTGTAGTTGACCACATTTTATTTCCTTTCCACATACGAGAGCTGCCAGGTGGAGAGGAGACCTAGCCCTCACTCTGTAGAACGAATTGTCAAGTAAGCTCTTCTAGCCCTGGTTGTGTGCAGTCATTGTCTCCTTTTGGTTGAGTTTCCTTAGCCTTAAATGAGAGGGTTGGAACTGATGATCTCTAAGGTCCTTTCAGGTTGCAAAGCTCCATGGTTCCTTGAAGGACCGCTCCTGAGGCTGTCCCGCCAGCCCAGTATTCCAGCACTTTCTCTTGCCCAATTAGCAGCATTTATCCAACTTTTTTGTCAGGTATGTGCTTCTATTCCAAGCATTCTGAGCCAATTCTGCAAATCAGCCTTCTTGGAAGACTCAAATGTTTTAACAATGTTCAAACATATGACATCAAACGTGCCATTTTCCCTTCATCACCAACTTTGTACTTTTATCAAAAAAAAAAGAAGAAGAAGTAGTACTGGGTCCATCTGGCAGGATTTGCTTTGAATAAAAGCCCATCTGCTTATTGTTTCCAATTTCATTGTCCTCTAGAATGTTTACAGAAGTTTCTTTCAATATTTACGGCACTGTGTTTCTAATTACTGATCCAGGCCATCCACGCAGACTTGGTGGGGTACCGTGCTGGAATGTAGGTGTCTGTCTCTTTTTCATCTCCACAGTTCTTTACTCTGGAGGCACAATGTGGCCCTGGGCCGTCATTACAGAGCCCTGGTGTAATGCTGCAGAGGCGGATTCTGACAATCAGCCCCTTTATCGTGAGTCTCCCTGGGGACTTGCGAAGCCACCTCTGATGAATTTTTACCTGCCTCTACACCATTATTGTCACAGGAAGGATGGAGATAATTACCTGGTTTATTACCCCCAGGCTGGCTTCATCTGGGGCCCATGATCACTGGAAACAGAAGGCTCATCTTTGTCTTCAGGAGTCCTGAATAGATGGGTACAAGATTCACATTTCCCAAATTACAGGGTCTCTGAAAGGCAAGAGACAATCTCTGCAATGGAAACATTGCCAACCTGATGCTTTTCACAATACCCCCAAAACTCCAAAATGCTAAAACTGTTTAAAATTAACCTCTCTTTCTCCCCAAAGGAGTTCCCAATGCTGATTTCCTCTGTTCTGTTGTGATGTCTTACTTTTCTCATCTCACGGCACTCTCCATCACTCCCCACACTCCAGCAAGTCCTGTTACTCCTTCCTTGCAGCATCTTCATGCTTTTCCCATCTGTCCCTGGCTTCCCAGGGCCCCTCCGTTGTCTAATTTCAGCCCCAGATCACATTGTCTCTATTCCTGCCGCACCTCCTCTCTCTCAGTCACTCCCCCTCCCCACCCACCATGCACATGTCTCCAGAATAATCCACAGAAAGTGTGTATTGATTTTACCAATCTCCAAGTCAACAAGGCTCTAGGAGCGCCTGTTGCTTTCAGGATTAGGTCTCCAGGCCCTCGCTGAATTGCAGGCTCTCGGCCATCAGGCCTCCAGCCCCCCAGCAGCTATGCATCCCACTGCTGCCCCCTGAGCCCTCTCTAGAGCTGCACGGAGAGTACTCTGGGCTCCACACTCGCAGCTTTTGCTCACATACCAACTTCCCAAGCATGTGACAAGCTGGAAAAGGAACGACACCAAATTTGAGGTGAATTCTTACTGCAGACACCTGGAAGTTAAAAGTGAATTTTACTCTACTTTTTTGCGGGGAGTGTCACAGTCCTCCTGATTCTGGTGCTCCCCCAGATCTTGGGGAAGTGTTTCCACCATGTAGTCCACAAGGCAGGCCACAGTGCTCCCTCAAAGATTCAGAAGGAAGTTTGATCAAAACAAGAAAAAGAAAGAAAGAAAAGAAACAGGCATTCTGTAGGAAAGGGAGTGGGTATGGGTTTAAAAGATGGGCTTTGGAATCGAGTAGGACTGGCTTCAGTTCCAGCTCAGAGACTTATCAATGCTGTAACTTGGCAGGTGACTTAGCCACCCCCAGACTGTTTCCTTATCAGTGAAACAGGGTGAATATCCACCTTGCAGGGTTGGTGTGAGAGTCCAGGTAAGCATGTGGAGAGTCCAGGCATGGATCTTGGCACTTAGCTTCTCGATCATGACTGTGTTACTCCACTACCACCTCTGGACCCAGCGGGTTCCACTCCCACAGTTCTCGCGGGGCGGGTTCACTCTACCAGCCTCCCATGGTCCCGTCCAACTTCTAACCAGGACTGGAGGGTGCACTGGGAGCCTGTTGGCTGGCCAGCAATTACCGCTCTTCCTCCAAAGATCACAGCTCTGGATACACTCCCAAGGAGACTTCCTCTCTGGCTGCGCTCGGCTGCCCCGGCACCCAGAGGCCCACCGGGTAGGGATCCCCACCTCTCCTTAGAGAGCAACATCCCTTTGTCATTTCTAGTGACTGGCTGTAGGCCTGGGCTCTCAGAGAGTGAGCAGCACTGGTTCAGGACCATCACAGCGCATGACAGGCAGGATAGAATGATGCTCGAGGCAGGTTAGCCTCAATCTGGGCTCTTGAGTCGGAGGGCCTGGGACTGCCCCTGCCTTTGATGTTTCTTAGCTGGGAGATCTTGAACATCTTGCTTAAATTCTATGTGGCTTGGTTTCCTCATCTATAAAATGAAGACAATAATAGTACCTACATCATGGGGTTGTTGTGAAGATCAAATGAGTCAATACACACAAAGCACTTGGAACATTGCCTGGCACATAGCAGGTGCTCCATAAATGTTGGTTGATAGAATTGGTGAATAAAGTCCTCCACCTTCAAGGTCTCTGGCACCTTATAATCAGGCCAATGGAGATGACTCCTTCAATGCCCACGGGCTTCTTCCAAACACCCTGTTTGCTGTCACAACCACCACATGCATGTGTCTGATACACTCACATGCACACCCCTCAACAGACCCCAAGACAAGAGAAGACTGATTCCCCGGAACCTTCAGTAATAAGCACCCCTTGCCACCCTCTGCTGAGGAAGCTCTGTCAGTCCTCAGAAGCACCCTAGACCTGCATAACTCAGGGGCCTGCCTTCAATTCTCCCATCTCAGCAGAGGAGAGGTCAGAGGTCAAATGGAAACTCCTGGTCTAATCTTTTGTTGAGAGACCATAAAAATTGTGTGGTGTCTTTTGGCCTGAAACGTCTGAATTGTCACTATCACTCAAATTACCAGGTATTTCTCAACTTCACACTTTTCTTTGGCCTCTCTCACCTATAAAGTCTACAAATTTGAATTCAACCTTTCAGGGAACATTTATTGAGCATCATTTTTGTGCCAGGCACTGTGCTGGGCTTTGCAGATGTAAGGCTGAATCAGGCATACGTTAGCTTCCAGGTCATAGTCGGGGGGTAGACAGGCAGCTGGACAGATCACTTCAATGCAGTACGACGAGAGCTAAGTCAGAGAAATGCACAGGGAGTTCGCAGAGAACAGAGAAGAGGCATCCCACCCAGACAGGTAGGTCAGAAAAGGCTGCCAGGAGGAGGTGATTCCAGAGATGGGTCTTGAAGAATGAGTAGTCATTAACAAAAGAATAGCATATTTAGAAAGCATCATATGGCATGAAAAATATAATGTGATTTTGTAACTATGGTCATTTGGCACCACTGGAGGGAACAGGGTAAGGAGGAGGGGTAGGAAATGAGACTGGGAAAATTGGCAGATACCGGACTATGAGAGGACTAGAGTCTTTTAGATATCACCCTGGGATGAAAGAGGAAACATTGAAGGGTTCTAGCTGGGAGCAATGTGATAAAAGCTGGCCTGGGGTAGAAGTGAGAGGGTTTTTCTGGGGGGAGGGGAGGGCAAGGAGTAGGGAGAATATCTAGAAGCAGAAACCATTTAGTGATTATTTATAATAATCCAAGTGAGAGATGGTAAGAACCCGAACTAAGGACCTGTCGGTAGGATTGAAAGGAGTGAAAACATTTCAGAACTATTTAGGAGGTTAGATCCTCAGGATATGGGACTGGTTAGGAAGAGAAGGGAGAGGAGATGGAAGTGAATGAGTCCCAGCTTTCTGTCATAAATGAGAAATCCAGCTTCAATTTATGAGTTAGAAATCCTAAGAGTATTTGGATTTACATGATACTTATTCTTAATTTCAAGACAATGTTAAATACAGATTTAATCTTACCAACCGGATAACAAAGAACAAACTTAATTTCTAGACCCTGAAGCCTCAAATGGACAAATTTTCCAGGTAGCAATGGATCTTGTAGTCAACCGAAGCATCTTCTTCTGAAGTTCAGTCCCCTGGAAATGACAACCCACACAAAGAAGACCAGATGGAAGGGCTGGGGGAAACATACGGAAGCAAAGCTTCCTAGGTTCAGAACAAACGTCCAGATAGGAGGACTGTGATGAGGACAACTTTGGAGAGGTGATTTCAAGTGAGGCAACTGCAAGGAGAGAGTGAACTGTTGCGACTTAGGGTGCTACTGCTAACGAGTCCCAGTACGGAGCACCAAAGGACTACGCCTAGGGGGTGAGCCCATCTGAAACTCTTCATCAACACTTTCAATCACAAAATAGTTCAACATTAGTTCTCTGCCCATCTTGGTCATTCTGGATCAGTCAAGCTTCTTTTGTCAGGCTCTAACTGAACCAGAAAAGTCCACATGAGAAAATGGAAGATGGGGGGATGGAAATGAGTTTTGGAGGGAAGGTAAATGTCAGGCCTTGGAATGTGGTCTACATTTGTTAGCAATAGGGAGTCATTGAAGGCTTTAGAGCAGAGCCATGATGAGATGCAAGCAAATTTTTGAGAATAGTCTGGCAGCCCTGTGCAAAACGGATTAACTTGACTGAAATGGCTCAAACACTAAAGCCTTGCTGTCATTCTAACCAGACCTTTCACTTTCCCCGTTCATTGCATCTTCAAACTCTGCTCCCTCAAAACTCCCTGGCAATATTGTTTCCTAAGGATTCCCAGCTCTCTGTCTCAGTGATTTCCAACCAGTGGAGAGGCAAAGGATTTGAAAATTAGTTGGCATTTCTTATTTCTTCTATTTTGTTGCTATATTCATAAGTTGAGGGGGAGGGCAGGTAAACTGGCATTTAGTTCCACAAGGGCCAGTGATGCCAAATATCCTCATCACACTGGGAAGTCCGGACAACAAAGACTCGTCCTGCCCAAAACGCCAGCAGTGCCTCTGTTGAGAAGCATAGTATTTGATCTCTTTTGCTGCACCATCTTTGTCTTCTACAAATTTTCTTCTTCCGCTTGTCACCAGGCAACCCTCCAGTCACCTGTTTAGCAGGTTAAATGGTCACTCAACTGTCATCAAACTCCTTCTCCCTTTCAGGAGCAACTGGAGGCAAGCCAAAGTCCATTACTGACCTAACTCCATGGCACTTAAGATTCCCATAGGGCTTTGCAATGGCTTCTATTAGCTAATTCTCACGTCAACACATAAATTGAGTTAGTTTTGTTATTAGTGGCTTGCAAGTAAAGAGACTCAAATACAAAAGGTCTGGGAACCTCTTCATGTCTCTTACAGTTAATTCATAGAGCCGGATTGTGAGAAGCTAATTTCAAAGTCACAATAATTCTTTCAAACCTCTAGGAAATTCGCTTAGTAGGGTGCCATTTGTGACGAAATTTTAATATAAGCGTTCTTTGCTTTTTGGAATTTAAACACTTTGGTGGCCTAGTTATGAAAAGTGAATCTCCTCTCCACTGGTTTTCGTTACATTATTGAAGACATATTCATGTTTTTTTAAACCTCTTTAAAGAGATGAATGCTTTATTGCCAGCTCTATGGGCCTCTCTTTTGATGTCTGTTACATTTTACTTTGTATTATTGACCCTCTCCGGGGGAATGTCATATCTTCCCGATAGATTGAAAGATTTTTGAGGGTAAACTGTCCTTTTCTTTGTCTTCCTCCAGACACAATGACAGTGCTTGGCCTATGGTAATGATTTAGTAAATATTTGCTGATGGGTTGGTGCTCAAGTTAATGGTCAATTCCATAATACACAAGGTTTTACCTATTGGTAATTTACTCTGAAAAAAATCTTCACAAAATATGACTGCATTTTTCAGTATTCTGCCCTATGATGTCCCTGTTGCCATTAGTTTCCTTTCACCAACACCCACCTCTAAGCCATGGATGTTTCCTTCAAGACTAAGGAGTCCCTGACTCCACACCTGCCAATCTCTTCATCTTTCTTCCATCCAGAAACTCACTACGCCAAATATAGCTGATAACTTACCCAGTGGGGGCGTGGTACATACATGGTCACAATGGGCAAAAATGATCACAATTGTCCACTAGTCACTATGTCCTTGACCTTGCAATGTAATTTTGCATCTACTTTTATCAAGATGTGGGGTCTATTTTCCCATCCTCTTGAATCAGGAATGAAAAGGAAATTCCTTACGTTGATAAAGGAGAAAGGAGATCTACCAAAAAGACCCACAGGAACCTTCACACATAATCAATGCATTTTAAATAGACCTCCTTTAATACGAGAAGAAGCAAAGATGCTCACTATTACTGCCACTGCCTTACATAGTTCTCAATGTCTCGGCCAATGCAGTGAGACATGAAGATGGTAAGGGAAGAGCAAAACTGCCATTGTTTGCAAAAAACAAGGAAAGCACAAGAATTTTATCCAGAACATCTTAAAACCCATTAAATCATGTAAGTTCTGATTAATGCAGAAAAACCTAATGCTTTATAGATGAGATTATTTAACACTGTGAAGATGTAAATTCTCATCCCAAATTTATTTACAAAATTTAATGAAATCACAAAGAAAATTTCAATAGGATTTTTTTCACATCTCATCAAACTGATTCTAAAATGAGTATGGAAGAATAAATGTCCAAGAATAATAAAGACAACTTTGCAAAACACGGGGCAGAAGCAGACAATTGCTGTATGAGTTTCTTAGGGCTGCTGTAACAAATTACCACAAACTGAGTGGCTTAAAACAGCAGAAGGGTATTCTCTCACAGTTTGGAGGCTAGAAGTCCAAAACTAAGGTGTTGGCAGAGCCATATTCCCTCTGGAAGTTCGAGGGGAGAATCCATTCCTGGCCTCTTCCAGCTTCTACTGGACACCAGCATTCCTTGGCCTTCCTTGGCTTGTGGCTGCATCACTTCTATCGCTGCCTCTGTCTTCACATCACTTCTTTTCTGTATGTCTGCATCTTCCCCTCTTCTGTCTCTTGGAAGGACACTTGTCATTGGATTTAAGACCCATCCAGGTAATCCAGGCTAATTTCATCTCAAGATCTTTAATTTATTTGTATCTGCAAAGAGTCTTTTTCCAAATAAAGTAACATTCACAAGTTCTAGGCATCTGGATGTAGACACAACTTTTTGGAGGCCACCATTCAACCCACAACACTTACCCTACCAGATATGAAGGCATACCGTAAAGCTATAGTATAACTCTATTGTGTACTGGCACAATAACAGACTCGTAGACCAATGGAACAAAATAGAGCCCAGAAAGAGTTCCAAGTTGGAAATTGGATATATGGGACAGCTGACATGATAAATCAGTGGGGAAGCATCTATTTAAGAAAAGAGTTTTAAAGATTTTATTTTTTCGTTTTTTCTCCTCAAAGTCCCCCAGTACATAGCTGTATATTCTTAGTTGTGGGTCCTTCTAGTTGTGGCATGTGGGACGCCACCTCAACATGGCTTGATGAGTGGTGCCATGTCCGCGCCCAGGATTTAAACTGGCGAAACCCTGGGCCTCCTCAGCGGAGCGCACAAACTTAACCACTCAGCCATGGGGCCAGCCCCTAAGAAAAGAGTTTTAAAAAAACTATTTGGAGATAATTTTAATCTGGGCCCTACTTCACATCTCATATAAAGCTAAAATCCAGATGGATTAAAAACCTAAATATTAACGATAGTGTATTGAGGGGTGTGTGTGTGTGTGTGTGTGTGTATAAAGAAAAAAATATGTAAAAGGATATCTTCATGGCCTTTGGGATGGAAAAGTTTTCTTAAACAAGACCTCAAAAGCACAAGCTGTATGGTGAAAACTGGGCAATTTCGATTACATTAAAATTAAGGATTTCTTCTTTCTTATAGAATTCCTGATAATATACATAGATACTCTCCTGTCCATAGGTGAAGCTTAAATCCTCTCCTCTTGAGTGTGGGTCGAACCTGGTGCCTTACTTCAAAGAACAGAGTACTTCAAAGAACAAAGAACAGGAAAGGAAAAAGTTTAACTTTTCAGTGGAGAAAACTGGCAGACATCACCTTAACCAAGTGTTCAACGTTACCAACACCAGTGATAAGTCATGTTGGTATTGTGTACCCGCCGATATGATGTGATAACAACTACACTTCACTTCTGTGGTCTTCTTCCAAAAATGCATAAGCCCAGTCTAATCATAAGAAAACAGCAGTCAAACCCAAATTGAGAGACATTCTACAAAATGCCTGACCAATAGTCTTCAAAACTGAGAAGGTCCTGAAAAACAAGGAAAGACTGAGAAACTGTCACAGAACAAAAGAGATGAAAAAGATACAGCAACTAAATGCAGTGTGGTACCCTGGATTGGATCCTGGAGCAGTAAAAGAACATCAGTGGAAAAAAACAGTGAAATCTGAGTAAATCTGTGCTTTTGTTAATAGTATCATACTAATGTTAATTTCTTGGTTTTGACAAATGTACCAAGTTATACAAGATGTTAACAACAGGGGAAGCTTGGTGAAAATAATATGGGAGCTTTCTATAGTATCTTCACAACTTTTCTGTAAATCTGAAATTATTCCAAAATAAAATACTTGCCATATAAAAAATAATTGCTCGTCAACAAAAGATGTCAGAATAAACTTGCATCAAATAAGACTGACAAAAATTGATGTCTAAAATATACATGGAACTCCAACAAATTAATGAGGAAGACAAGAAACCCAATGGTAAAATGGACAAGGATATGACTAGACAATTCCCAGGAGGGAAATTCAAATGACTAATAAATATATGAAGAGATGTTCTACATCACTAGTAACCAGAAATATGCTAAATAAAATTAAAGAAGTAAATTTATATGAATCTATTTGGGGAAAAAGTGTATATTGATGAGAATGTGAGACAATAGGAGAAATAGTTCACTCCCGGTAGGAGAGGAAAGTGGAACAGCCATTCTGGAGAGCAAGTTGGCAGTACTATGTGAGATGAAGTGTGCATATCCCCTGTAATCTGCAATCCCACTCTAGGGCTAACACGCCAGGAACACTCACCAGGACGGTAAGGATGGTCCTCACAGTGTGGTTTGTGGTAGCAAAGCACTGAGCCAACAGTGATGTCTATAACTGGGGTTCTAAGTAAAACATGGTGGACGCATTCTCTGCAAGACAATGCAGCAGAAAAATTAACCAGATACACACTCACAAACGCGGTGAATGTGGACAAATCCTGGATAAATCCTGAAAAACTATGCTGAGTGGAAACAATAAAAAGAAAAAATGGAGAAAAAAGATATATACTGAAATACCATTATATAAATCTAAATGTCATACATTTCAATGCCATATTCTAAACATATCAGTATGCATGTTTACTACACATGAAGGGAGAGACTCGGCATAGAGATGGGCATGAAGGGGGCGTACTAAATAAACTAACCTAGGTGAGAACGTGAACAGGCAGATGCCATGAGCGTCTTAGGATGTTGACTTCAATTCTGTGCCCCTGAGGTCCAAACTGGAGAAAAAGGGGCAGAGGGTAGCTCCGGATGAGAACTTGAGGAGATCACCTTTGAGCTAAGAGCATGAGTTTTAGTGTGGATAGGTGTGGGAACATCTACATTACCTGCTCAGCAGCCCTTTCTCTTTACACACTGATGACAAAAGAAATCATTTCGTAATGTCCAGATAAGTCATCCACAGATAAGAAGGGCATTGCCTTCCTCAGTTTCATTACAATAAGATATACTTACAGAACAGCCTGATAGTCGAGAGTAATTCTATCCGAGACCTTCACGAATCCCTCCGATTCACAAAGAACCACTATATCACATAATACCCCTATGGTATTGGTATACAATGAGAGAAAAACATTTTTTCTTTGGGTGGCTGGGGGCAGGGTATTAGACTCATTCACCAGCCATGGTAACTAACTACTACACTCCAGCATCCCAGCCAGCAAGTGCAATTCTAATTCGTGCTTCAACAAAAATACAGAAGATAATATATTTTGAACCTAGAGGGTCATTTGCAAACAATGAGAAATGCAAATTCTAAATCAATGAAAGTCGGGGGAACACTATGCCATGCTGACCACTCGGGTGCCCTGGAAGAGTTCCTGCAGCCTTTTGAAGTGTTTAATATAATCTTTGAAACCACAGAGACCGTGAGCAAACCGTGCTCATTTTGATTGACAATTTGGCCTGTGGCTCAGACCATTGCAGCACTGACTCTAAGCAAATCAGAGGAGACTGAAATTCTAAAAGATGCTGTTGATTTCAGTGCTTTTAATTATTCAAATTTTCAATCAGCAGGTTTTTTTCCAGTTCATTACCCGCAGACTCTGTGGATCAACCAATGCGTGCTGCCCTTCTCCTCCTTAATTCCTCTAGCAATACAGTCCTGTCCAAAGCCTTACCCGGCCCTGGAAAACAAAGCCAAAATGTACGTGTTCATTTTACCTTCATTTACTTTGGCAGGATTCCAAAAGCATGGGAAACAAAGTGAAAAATCCCAGCATCTCAGAAAGCTTCTAAAATGAAGCTGATCAAGCCGAAGCATCCTTAACACAACTGAACTGATGGGAAATTGGACGTGAGCTGGCAGCTCTGGCTGTGACAAACGACGGATGAATGTGAACAAAGAGGGGAAGAGGAGGGACTCTTCAGCTCCAGCCTCAGAACTCCATCCATCTCACAGTGTCGTTCCACCTTGGGAGTCCAGAGATGAAAATAACTCGGCTTTGAAACACACACAGGCTATTCAGGAAAGCAGCTGACAATTACAAGTACGAAGTGGAATACGGGAATAGGTTCCTGCTGTGTAAAATTGCATGTTATTGAATTGATTGAGTTGTCATTCAGAAAAGGTGATTTTAGAAATGAAGCTAGCAGGGAGATAAATAAAGTAGAAATTCAGATAAAATTCCCTAAATCTTGTCACCGGTATCTGCGAAACTAAAAGATTGCAGCTTGTGAAGGTAATGTTATTAAACAATGATGCTGAAGGTCATTCCTTGTTACCCTTTTCTATAAATTATCCCACTTCAGCTTTGGCTCATC